ATTATGGTAATGATATCATTACTGATTACATTGAACTGAGGGTGTGTGGTACTGCTGGATGGGGCAATGAAGGTACTCCAGTATAATTGTATGAGATTTATGTCAAGTAAAGGAACAATATATCATAATAGTTTGTTGCACATGGAGTTTAATTGAGTATTGATGTATGGTTAGAACATAGAGCTATAAACATGTTTGTTAAATGGGAACGAATAATCTTGATTAGATATGAACATATAGATGCATGATTAAAGTTCCGATATCACTGCTGTGCTTATAAAGCATGGTAAAAGTGGCTAGGTACCAAAAATAACAAAAAACAAATCTTTGTCATACAGTTAGAAAATATTTACAATACATAGACTAACATACACAACATATCAGCTAATACAAACATCAGGACAACTTAATAGGGCAGAGATATTATCATATAATGTTAGTTTAGGAGGAAACAGGTTTGCTTCTTATCTTTTAGTTTAGTCCAAAAGAGCAATGTATTTTATATTTCAGAGCTATTGTAATCAAACTGTCATTATAAAAGTCAGCATAATCAATCTGTAATTTAGTAGAGCCGCATAGAGAGATGGAGAACATGTCAACAAGTTTTCTAAGCAAAGAATCCTCAGCTCCAGTATATGACCTTGCCACTGATCATGACAATCAATTGAAACCTTCTCAAGGACCACACAATGGACCCAAAGGATCAATGTATTCAGAGCTTGGTGAGTATGCACGTCTCTCACATAGTGGACCATCAACAGAGAAGATATTCAGGCCTCAGTATTGTAGCAGTGTTGAGTCAGATCAGCACTCACCTTATGACTCATCTCAATTGTATGATACTGCTCATGTGTCTTTCAATCAACCAACAGATAACAATGGAAGAGGACAAGATACTTACACTGTCAAATCTCAACAGTCAGTGCAGTATACTGCAGGGAAGGGACTACAAGTTGTTACAATAGTCCTACAGGCACTCATACTGATGCTATTGGTATGTGTGCTGGTAGTACTACTGCTTAATAAAGGTTCATGTACGTGTGATAC